GATTTATAAAACAGGATAAAGAAATAACTAAAGATATGTGATTGTTCGCGAGATTGGCACAGGATATATACGATTGTCTACTATGTTGTTGAAAACGCCCAAAGGTGAGCAAATAAGCAAATATCGTTTGAGCCAATAAGACATATTTGTCAAATAAAGAAACGTTAATCTCTGCGTATTTGGATTACTGTAATTTTATTCATATTGGTGGTTACTCTTATACGACCGGATGTGACAATTCCATTTAATTCCGGTCTACTAATCTTTTTCTTGATCTAACTTCGGAAGTTTAAAAAAAAGTGAAATTCATTTTAGGCCTTACTTAAGACAGGATGGACACAACTAAATGGGAAATCGACAACGTAACCCCGAAAATGGATAATTACGTAACAACAATGATAGGTTTGCGATGGTTTGCTCTCAAGAGTTAGAATATCTTCCAAGTCCGACTGTTTATTAATTAGAATATCCTTTTAGTAATTTAGTTAGAATATCCTTTTTGCTATTAACAGACGAGTCATAAAAAGGATAGATTCTAGGCATACACTGTCCTTATACGCACGAGTATGTTTAAAAATACAAAAGAAAAAATACTTACCGAACCAGTACGATTAAAGAGCTTTCGCAATTGCAGATGCGTTCCAATTCATCAAGATCCTAAAAAAATATATTTATAATTAAAATGTCACATGTGCTTAAAGGAGCATTAGGTGGTAAAAAGAATATTAAGGCATGAATCAAGAGACGAATCAGATTCATTTCCGAAAACAATAAGATCGTCAAAAAGATATGTTTCCTGGATTGACAATGTGCATTCACACTACGTGCCTAGTGAACTTTTTCAAGAGCACTCTTTTACATGAAAGCAATAAAACTAGCTTTGAGTATAAAGTGATGGCTTTAAATTGCATGAAAGCATGAAATAGAAAATTGGACATCAGTTTGAAGTGCTATAATATGATAGCAAAAAAGGTTGGTAAAATTATGCTATTAAAGTTGGAATGAGGAATCATGAAAGGTTAGCAAGCATTTACACAATTGAAATTTTCCAAAAATGTCCAAAATATCTAAATAGAAGGCCTTTGTTTACGCTACTTCTTGCTTTATTTACACTTCAAATGTTTTGCAGTTTTCCTTTAAATAAATTTTATCACGATCTCCTGCTTTATCCTTTCAGAACTGCGTTATCCTTTACCGAATATTTCTCTCTTTCTTATTATAGAAATTTGGATTCAAAGCATCTACGGCATTAAAGAAGTTATTTCTTGACAAACATTTACTTAGCTTGCAGCAAATTTTTGGAGGAAATGTTCATCAGCGGTACAGTCGACATGACCCAACAAGCTTCTGCCAAGATGCTATCATTGGGTCTCGGAGGAGGAAATTTGAATTCATATCTGCACCACAACTATCCTAATGTAAGAAAAGGTTAAAGGTTAAAAAGGCAAATCTTTAGTCATTTATTAGTTTTAGATGAACATAACAGTTGTCGAATACGATCCTCAAATGCTGAACATTTCAAAGAGATGGTTCGATCTGAAATTAGACGACATGCGAGTGATTTAGCGGATGGTTTAAATTCCTTGAAGCAGGCGGCAATAAAAGGTACGTCTGATAACATTTTGACTCTTGGCATAATTCCTGAAATTCCTTACAAGGCTGATCCATTTGACTTAC